GGATGTTCTGACGTGGTGATGCTTTAGGACTATACCAGTAGGTGGTAAAATATCGACTGTGTGTGGTTGCCAGTGCAGTACTGTCTTTGACTACGGTCGAATATTTTCCCTATTTCATTTTTCAAGAGTATTTTTTTCATTAAATATTCTAACATTGCATTTTATATATAAATCACCTATATGACCCTTTGAGTGCAGAAAGAACTGCAAATTGAATATATATATTTTTTCAAATGCGTGAACGAGGGGGTTCGTAATGAAAGCCAAATGGAATGAGAAACCCGGGAAGTTTACATCAAAGGCAAGCTTCCCTGAAAATGAGAACCCATCACCTTTTCTGGTTAGGGAAAGACTCCTCTCTCTCTCTTCTCTCTCCCTCTTTCTCTCGCTCTTTTTTTCTCTCTATATATATATGCCTTTATCTCTCTCTCTCTCCTTCTCCCTCCCTCCCTCCCTCCTCTCTCTCCCTCCCTCCCCCATCTCTCTCACTCACTCCCTCTCTTTTTCCTCCCTCCTCTCTCTCTCTCTTCTCTCTCTTCTCTCTCTTCTCTCTCTCTTCTCTCTCTCCTCTCTCTCTCTCTCTCTCTCTCTCTCTCTCCTCTTTCTCTCTTCTCTCTCTCCCTCCCTTCCTCCCTCTCTTCTCTCTCTCTCTCTCTCTCTCTCTCTCCTCTCTTCCTCTTCTCATCTCTCTCTCTCTCTCTCTCTCTCTCTCTCTCTCTCTCTCTCCTCTCTCTCTCTCTCTCCTCTCTCTCTCTTCTCTCTCTCTCTCTCTCTCTCTCTCTCTCTCTCTCTCTCTCTCTCTCTCTCTCTCTCTCTCTCTCTCTCTCTCTCTCTCTCTCTCTCTCTCTCTCTCTCTCTCTCTCTCCTCTCTCTCTCTCTCTCTTCCTCTCTTCCTCTCTCCCCCTCCCCCCTCCCCCCCTCCCTCCCCCTCTCTCTCTCTCATTCTCTCTGTGTATCTCTCTATCTGTCTGAGCCTGCCTCTCACCTGCCTGGGTCAGTGATTAGCATTTGACTATATCAACACTCCCTTTTCCCTTTACACACATTCGCAACAATAGTCCTTTCAGGCAAAGAGGAAGGCCGTTAAAAGGCGGAATGAAAACCCCCCAACGTTGATGAGGGAGAGAAAGAGGGAAGGGAGAAAGGGAGTCTTTTGTCAGGGCAGAGTGGTGGGTGGAGCGAAGGTGCTGGTACACGTGTGCTGGGTTTTGGCTTGTTGTTTCCGTGCGTGTGAGTCTGGTAATATAGGAGGGAGATGGGGTGGGAGTGAGGGTGGGGGTTGGGGGATGAGTTGGCTGTGGGAGGATTGTGTGTGTGTGTGTTTGTGTGTTTGCTTTGTGTGTAGTGTGTGTCTCTGTGTGTGTGTTTGTGTGTATGTATTTAAAAATGTATATATAGTCACTGATGTAATGTTGGGAGAGAAACTTGCCAGAGGTACGTCATTTAGCAGAAATTATAGACAAGAAAAGGCAAGCAGTAGACCACCGAAATCTTACACATCATATTATCAAAAATTATCGAGAAATACTTGCAAAAGGTTATGATTATCCTTTTTTGTTGTCAACATAATTGTTCATGACATTGATAATAAGTATCGACATATAATTTCTTCTGCCATCAGAAGGAAACAAAAGAAAGCGATGAGGAGGAAGCGGAAGGAAGGAAGAGAGAGAGAGAGAGAGAGAGAGAGAGAGAGGAGAGGAGAGAGAGAGAGAGAGAGAGAGAGAGAGAGAGAGAGAGAGAGAGAGGAGGAGAGGAGAGGAGAGGAGAGGAGAGGAGAGAGGAGAGGAGGAGAGGAGAGGAGAGGAGAGGAGAGGAGGAGAGGAGAGGAGAGGAGAGGAGAGGAGAGAGAGAGAGAGAGAGAGAGAGAGAGTGAGTGAGTGAGTGACTGAATCTGTGGTTGCTGTATATCGCTCATGTATGGAGAATCGAAGCAGCCCATTCCAATGGTGTTGAAGATATGAAATAACACATAATAACAATTAGTAATCTAGATGTATGCATATGACATAAGGCGTTTTAAGCAGGGGAGCGCTTGGTCAAGAATTATTTCTTTGAGACCAAGAACTGCACCGCTGTTCGCTGCTTTAAACAACTGTTAGAGCCCGAGCAGTGTTGCTAAACCGCACGAATGGCTCTATTAAATGTCAAGCCTGAAAAATTATGCGCTTATTCTCAAGTATTTTCCACAATAAGCGTTTTGAATAAATATATCTACCATAACATCTTTACAAAGCATAATATTTTTTCCTGTATGAATATGCAGTGCCTCTAAAACTGACATAAAAACAAATGGACATCACTGAATTAAAAATGGGTCTTGTGATGCTGAATATAAGTTATTACATTATCAACAGAAGAAAGTTGCTATATTTTTTTTACTTCCACTAATAATATTCTTCGTTTCATTGAATAGTAAGTATATTCTCGAATTAAAGAGGCGAGGAGGTTAAAAGCAAGCGATAAATTATTCGTCATAATGATTTATGATTTTTAAGAAAAAAACTTTTTCATTCCCATAATCTCCTGTCGTTATCAGTTCATTTCAACTTCTTTAAATGTAATGTTATGGGAATTACAGAAACAAACCATAAAAAAATCTCTGAGAAAATATTCAGCGTTCTTGGCCAACACCCGCAAGGATTGTAAGTCTAGCCATCTTAGGGGGTCGCTTGAGAAAACAAGAAAAATTCTTATGTTAGGCAAGAACTTTTCCTGCTTACAACGCCTATACGTGTCCTTCGCCGCTTTTTAATTACATACTAATCAGCACTTTATTTTCCAGAAGGGAGAAAAGTGGCGAGCCCATCAAGATACATATTAAAAAAGGACAGAAAACTTGACAAGACAATAAAGGCAAGACGCAAGCGATATCTACAAGACTGAGAGATTGATCCAAAAGAAAGAAGACGAGTGACTTTGGAAGAAAAAAAAAAAGAAAAATTAAAAGAAAAATTTAGTGATGAGCGCCAGGCTTTTCCGCCGGACATAGACTCAGAGCCGAAGAGCCGGCTGCGTCTCCTCCTCGGGCGAGGGACCCCATGGCCGCCAGCTGAGCGCGCGGCCTCCGAGATCTTCAGGGCTTCTTGGAATTGGAATCTCGGAATGAGGAGGAATTCCACGCGAGCTTCGCCGTCGCCGCTGCAGGCGCTGTACCTGCCAGGTGAGGGCAGCGGGAGGGACGCCCGGGCTCTACCGCAATTTCTGTTCATGCTCTCTCTTTCCTCTCTCCTTTCTCCTTTTTCGCGTCCNGAGAGAGAGAGAGAGAGAGAGAGAGAGAGAAATGAGAGAGAGATTAAGTTTCATCATCTATAAATAAATTCTTAAAATAAATTTATGCATTATGTCCCAGTCCTACTTCAAAAGTAAGTCAACCATGTCTCCTTGCAATACAGCAATCAAAATCCATATACAACACTGAATAACAATATCTTATCTTGCATATTATATAAAAGCCTCTGAGGCATCATTTTCTTTCACATTTAGTGTCTCACTTTCCCTCTTTTTCATTTTCTCCAGACATCGTCCTCTTTATTTAAATATTTGTCACATGGCATCCTGCTTTGTACCTATCAACATCCACATTCTATTCATCCCAAAAGCCTAAAGAAGTGACTATTTTTTCATTTGCTGATACTTTCAGTATATTTTGCAAAAATGATTCTCACTATAATTCACCCTAGGCCACTCTCAGAGACAGCCTATTTGTTGATAGAGCAGTAGATGGAACAGATACACTTATTCTTCTGTTCCTAATCCCTGGCTATTTTTTTTCTGGACATTCTCAATGGCTACCAATGGTTGATTCTAGTCAAATAAGTTTTCTTTGTCTCCTTCAGAAAAAGGAAAAATAAGGTAAATTTTCATATCATAAATCTATCATCTTCCATATTTACTTTCACAGGTAGTTTTAGAAATGCTATTTAACTAAAATTCAACAGGAAAGGAAACACTGAAACCATAAAATGCTATTTGGGTTGAGAAAAAACAGACAGTACATGTCATTTGTAGCCTATCTCTTCTTGTCCTTTATCCCACACCCCATGCTCCTGAGTTTGACCCCAATTTTCATACACATTTACTTTGTATGACCTTGCTCAAAGTGTATATTACAATTGTAGTAAAAAAATACAATAATAATAAATAAATAAATATAAAAACATTACTTAACATGCCATCACATGTCAATGGTTCTCAGAATTACAGCATTAATAATAATTACTAATGAAAATTAAGCCTATCACCACATGCTTTCTGACATTTGTTAGACAAATGACACAGACCATATTTAGAAGCTTGCTAAAACATCATATAATTTCATTTTCAACAGGTTTATGTTTTTTACACATAAGCAAATAATATGCCTCACAACACCATTTTTTCCATGATCACATATTGTTTGATATAACTTCAAAATCAATGTCTTTAGCAGAGTGGACACCACAGTAGTCCAAAATAACTTGCCTAATGAAGGTATGACCCATTGAGTACTGCCCAGTATCATGGACAGGGTCTGTGTGATGCTAATTTCAACCATGTATTCCATTTCTATGTAGGCAAAGACTTATTTCAGTCTTCCAAAAATATGAATGTGTTGATTTCATGTAGAAACAAACTTGACTTTTCCCAGAGTAATGTCTGAGGGGGCTACTGATAACACCCGAATAATTTAAAACTGATTATAAATCTTCTTTATCCTTGTTCTATTTGCACTTATTATCTCAGGTAAAAGATCCATATTTTATTTTATCCCTTCCATATATGGCTGTCTGGGATAATGTTCTTCACAAATTTTGCAAATAAATTTGCAAATAAATAATTTTTTCTTCTTAATGTGAGTTCAAAATTCCTTTTCAGATTTATACCTTACATTTCTCAAAGGAACCAAGACTGACACCAATTCTAGATTAGGGAGAATTCATTATTTGCTGCTCCTTCTCCACTGCTAACTGATATGCAGGATGAAATTCAGTTCTTGACTTTAAACAATCTAACATGCAAAATTTGTGCTACACCTTAGCTGTTCAAACCTTAGTCTTACACCATCTTATTATCTCATATCTATGGGCATGCCCGATGGGTTATACTTTTTAGTACTAATTAGAATCATGTCCTTTTAATCATTATTTTTTTTTCTCTTCTTTGTTCTAATCAAAGATAAAATTTTGGAATATTCAGAGTAGTGACATAAATATACATTTCTTTTATTCAGTATTGTTGAAAGACTGATCTTTCATTTGTATCAACCATGTTTTCTTCAAAGAAAAAAGAAGAAAAATGTATGTAAAACAATAAATATAATTCAATATCACATAACATACTGTAAAAATTTCACTAGCCATTTTTGCAAACATTTTATCATGTGAAATTAACAAATAAAAGTAACTCATGTAACTCAATAACACAATGATGCTTGTATGAAATAATAATTCAGTTACAACCTCGTCATGTTTGGAAAGTAAAGTCACCTTCAACTCTTACAAAAAAAAGTTCACACAAAGACTGCTGAAGAAAGATGTCATATGTTTTATATACCTCTAAGTAATATATTTCAATGGTCAGCATGAAACATGATTTGCATTTGTTTTACTGTAAATACTGATAATAAACACTCATAAAATCAAGTAAAATTGCAACACAACTTAAAAACAACACAAACAACAGAATCTGTAATTTTTTATACTTTTTCAAATAAAGTGCTTTTAATACTAATGCTATACTTCAAAATGCACCTCTATGATTTATATAAAGTTTCACCATCCTTGCTGGTAACTCGTTTCTAGTTAGAGAGCATTAACACTTACCTCAAAGACCAACTAATTTCATTAGGAATTTCATAAAAAAAGGATAAATATTAGGAAGAAAAAGAAACAGAAAGAGAAGGAGAAAACAAAGATAATAAAAATCACAGAAGCAAACGGAAGTAACTATCGATAAATTGAGCTAGTAGAAATGGGACTTATACTTTTCCTATGTGCAACTGCTGAAATGCAGTTAAACCAGCTTTTATATCCAAGTACCTGTTAGATGAATGATCACATGATACTCAAAGAATAATACTGGTGGATGGCCTAATATTTCATTTATCTATAGTCTAGAAATAAAAAAATAAATACAACTTGACTGTGCAAAAATTCTCATGCAACTAAGAGTATACACATCTTGTCTCCTTTGATGCTAACACACAGAAACACACGGGCACTTTTATAAACGTACATGATCAATGAAAAATAAATCTCTCATAACTCTGTATGGAACATACTTTGCACTATAAAAATCTTATTTCCTTTTTGAAGACCTTTAGTGGAAATTATAGAAAAAAAATTATCATTTGCAAATATACTTCTGTGGGTTTTCAAAGAAAAATAGTACTTGTCCCCTATTTGTGTATGTATGCATGCATCAGGGTTCGTACACTTTTTTGGTATCAAAATTCCATGACTTTCCTGAGAGGTTTTGGCATCTATCCATAACTCTTTTCACAGTTTTCCTTGAACAATTGATACATATTCACAATACATACATCCTATTACAACATGTACAATGACTGTAATTTAAAATAGATGTCAAATATGAAAGATTTAAGTAATGACATGTGAGTGTCCTTAATTGACACTTCAGTGACTAGTTGCTTATAATGGATCAGGCTTTTTAATTGTTCAAAAACACAAATACTAAATTTCCATTAATTTCTAGACTTTGAAACAGAATTCCATGACATTCCAGGTTTGGAAATTTCAATTTTAATTTCCATGAATTTCTAGGATTCTCCAGGACCCCTACAAACCCTGATGTATGTGTGCTTCTGTAATACTCTCTTCCACCATTTATCATAATCACTTGTACTGTATAATATTACTCTGGAAAAATAATCTGAAACTGGAACGTCATTTGTACATTCCCAATTAGAAAAAAAGGACTAACCTTCTCAAATCAATAATATTTAAGCCAGATGCACAGCAAAAGCCACAACTAAAAATACTTGATATACTTGTCTTCCTCATCAATCTTCTGCTTCTCAATCTGTCATTCTCTAATTGATGTGTGACCAATAAGCAAAACCTTTCCATGTCTAACTCAAACTAATGATGACAATGAAACATGATAAGACAAGTGAACAAGTTAAAATTAATATGTGACTAAGTCAAGATGAAAATTAATATTATAATACAAGAATTAACTCTGATACCTCTGCTATGCATAGACTAATTTCTTTTCTTTTCTGTTTTTTTTTTCTGTACAACAACCAGTTCTTTCATATATATATATATATTTTTTTTTGTGTGTAGTATTTGACATCTGTATTGAATTTATACTACAGTCAAAAATCTCCCCCTTATTAAGCTTAGAAGTGCTTGTTGTTCAGCTTGTTGGACTGTGTGTGAATGACGGTAAGGTTATAGTTGCACATTCGTATCACAGCACGTAACTCTGCTACCTGCGAATCAGAGGAAAAAAAAATTATATCATTGCTTATTGATATATGAATTGTATGATCGA